TGTGATTAATAATACAGTTAAGCCTAAATATTTGTTTCATTTCATGAGCATTTTTCACAGTGCGGTCAAAGTAAATGAAGATCACCATGTATTGGCTTAATTTCTTGATGATCTCAGACAAATCCCACTGTTTATTAGCGATGTGTTACATTTACTTAGTAAATCTTGACCACAGTTCTTTAAGAAAAGAAATAGTTAAAACAGAATTGTGTACTAATTTATCAGAATTCTCACCAGTGGACTTTTAACTGAACGAAATGTCTTTGGATTGTAGGAGGAAACCTGATCACCAAGAGGAAACTCTCTCAGGCATGTTGAGAACATATGAAACCCAGAATTCAGTTCAGTAGATTTGAATTATGTAGGAGCAAGTGTGTCAGACCTAGGGCCAGATTTTCAAAAATAATTGCAATTTGAAAATCACAGCTTGTATGTTGGAAATGTGGTGAAACAGGCCCCTGGTTGTAACATGTGGCTGAGGCTCAGTTCCTGTAGGATGGAATCATATAGCAATAGTCACTTCACCATTTGTACTAGCTTAGAAGCCAAACATGGGCCACATGCCTCATCTAATGAAGGCTACATTTAAATGTTTGGAGTGAGGAATTTTGTGGCATCTAGCGGTGAGGTTGCAGATTGCAACCAGCTGAAACTTCTCCCGTGTAGTCTCCCGTGTTCTCCTCCTGTATATATATGAAAATACAAGTCAGGTCAGAAGCGCTCTCTGTCACTACTGACGGCTTTTTTCTGCTCTACTTACGTTAGCTACTGATGCTCAGTAAAATGCATAGAGCGCCCTCTGCTGACAATGTTGGGCTTAGCAGAAATAAAATAACCACACATCCCACTAAAAGACCTAATGACAGAATGATACAGGTAAGTGACAAAGAAATAGTATATGTTTGTGAGACCTTAGCTTTTACTGCATTTTTACTGAAGGGGGGCTAATATTTCCGTGTCTTCTCAAACACCCAGTGTAAGAGAACTACAGTGGCCGACACAAGAACATTAATGTGAGCCAGTGTTTGGTTTGACCCTTCCAGGCTACTGTAGAAACACTTGTGGCTCCATGAAGAGGACCCGCTCTGTATGTAGATACAAACTGCTCATTCTAATCAAACAAAAACACAACGGTTCTTATAAAGAAAACATAGTAATTACTATGATATTCCATTTCTGCCAATGAATCCCCTTAAATGCTATACACTGTACATTTAAGCAAATCCTATTAATAACTAAAATGAAATGCCTGAACTTTACTTCCTCTGTGAAGTTAAAATTGGTGCATGCCAGCTTTTGTCTCTTTAAGGTCACCTTTTTGACCTTTTTCTACAAATGACTCTTTATCGTCTGTAATAGACTTTTCTTTACAACCAGTTCTAAGGAGAACCTGTGGCTTGTTTCCTGTCATGGTCCCAAGCTGTTTTTTTCTGCAATCATTGGACTTTTCTATTGCAAGGCTTGTAATTGGCCTGCAAGTAATCTTTCTACAAAGGCTGCACATAGTGGCGTCGAAGCAGCAGAGCTCCTTAAGCTAATGGCTGATATTGCTGAGGTGCTCCGCCGAGTGCTTTTAGACGCTCATTTGTGCCGGCTGCCAGCCGGTACTTTAATGGCTCTCTTATTAGTCATCCAGTCATGCTGTACTGACACTGATGTTGCTCTGGAATTATGACCATCGCTGCAGACCACTGATGTGGGTGTTGATGATGATGGTGATTGTTTTTATATTCATTCATCCAGAGTAATATGTGATGATTATGACTTCTTCATATTCATTCATCTGGGTAATTTCGATTGACATTTATGTTGTGATACTTGGATTGTAACCATGTCTGGTCATTATCTTATACTTTCTTTTGTAAATGTCCACATTTTGTCAACTCTGCTGTGTATTCTGGCTGTTCTCAACAGGAATCAATAGTGTTTTGATTGGACTCTGTTTACTCCTGCTCTGTTCTGAAATTCTTGTGTGAATATGCAGACACATTACTGTTAACAATGTCATAATGAGCACACACACACACACACACACACACACACACACATCTAGTGTCAGCAGTGGGTTGAGTGTGAATCAGAAAGTTGTTAAAAACACACACACTTTTTTTTTTATACTATATTGATTCCTTTAAGGGGGAAATTTGTCTCTGCATTTGACCCATCCCTGTAAATAGGGAGCAGCGGGCTGCCAATGACAGGCTCCCAGTTCAGTGTATTGCTCAGGTACACTTCAACACATGACACGTCCCAGTGGAGAATCGGACCGTTGACCTTCCAGTTCCCAGACAACCCTCTTAACCCAGTGAGCCACAGTCGCCCCACTTGTTCTTGCCTTCATTTGTTGTGACAGAAACTAGCAGAATCTCAGGCTTTCGGCACACCATTCACTTTAATATCGATTAAAAAGACAATTCTTTGATGACAATATCAGAAGATAAACACTTTAAACCAAGCTGCTTAAGCAAGATGGAATACTGGAAAGAATATTGAAATGTTATCACTTTACTTTTTGAAGCATCTGTTGGTTTTTGGCTGGACAGATTCCAAAATATCTAAATATGATGAATCCACAAAATAGTTTAATAGTCTGAATTTAAGACAACATTAACTACTTATTATTCCATCAACTTAGAGAGAATTCTATTTGTAGGTTTTTGAGGCATAGTCTACTAAAGAAACAATAATTGCAATACATGCAATCTAAAAAGTAATTTGATTATAAATAGGACAGTAAACTTGCTTCCACCCATGGCCATCATTAAAGCAGTCTCACAGCACCAACCATTAACTCACCCGCATGTTGTCACCCACAGTCTGCCTAATGTAGTTATCCATGGTGAGAATGTTCAATTACCTGTGCTAGCAGTTTCCCTGGTTTCATGCAACACGTTGATTACACCTTGCCCACAACATTTCCAGTGAATCCCCAGCCAGCTGCAGCAGGGTCTGCAGCGGAGGATTTGGAAAACATAATGGTATTATGCTAATGTTGAGATATTGCTGGATTGACATTTCTACTGATTGGTATTAGTGCCCCTATCCATTTCCCCACCCACGCAGCAATAGTTTAAGGTCCCCCTTCCACCAGAACATGCTTTTAACATCACTGGTGTCAGGGGTAATTTGTGCTGTTACTCAAGTGGGCTTGTTTTGATGCAATTAGTTTATTTTTTTTGTGTAATGAGTGCATGCCCCGAGCCGTCTGCCCTCTGGAGACATTTGGAAACGGAGCAAACAACCTAATTCAGACACAGACTGCAACAGCGGTCTGTTGGTTTGATTTGATTTTTCTTTGTAAATATAGATATTTTACACGCATGATAACAAGATTGTAACTAGTTTGCATATTGTCATGTAAAAAGAAGACATCTAACAGTTTTTGTGAAATCAAAAGTATCCCCTCTGGGGACCATGCATGTCTGTACCAAATGCTATACCAATCCATCCAATAGTGAGATATTTCTATCAGGACCAATGTGGTTGACCAACCAGTTGGCTGACACTGCCAGAGCTAGAGCCATGCTCTACGTACAGTATGTCACAAATCATTTTTATACCTTGTGTCAATTAGAGAATGCTGTAATTTAATCAGTGGTGGGCTGTCAGGGCCTTCTCTGTTGGCCTAAACAGAATCACAAAGTTATAGCTATTTTACAATTTAATATTTGTTCTTAAATACACTACATGTATTATAATTTATAAAAATATTTTCCCCATTATCTTATTTTCTCATTGCACAGCTACTGTCTTCCTCAGTTGCTCTGCTTCCAGTGCAGCTTGTTTTAAGTAGAGCTTTTATCCAATCAGATTTCACCTCTGTGTCTCTAGGTAAGAACAGAGGCAGAGGCCTGCAGACTCACAAGTGCATCCCTTTGCAGTTTAAGTGAATGGGGACGATATTGTTGATTGTCATAGTGTTCAACCAATCAGATCTTTAGTTTGACATTCTTTGACATGTCAGAGCCTGCTAGCTGGCCTACAAGTACGTCAGCACTACGTGCAGCTCAGTTTGCAGGTGCAGGTCTTCAGTGAGGTGCAGCGTGTGCTGTGATTGGTCAGTGGGCGAGCACGTGACTATCGAAACGAAACTTAAAGTAGCCAGAAAAGGCTTAGTCGGAGTAGTAAGAGTTCAAATTGTAAGATATGGAAGAAATTATGAATTTTTTTGCATTTTGCTGGTGTAGATTTTTATTTTTTTACCTAGCTTTGTTTTTTTAACACTCAATGGCTGAAGAAGGAGAAATGGATTTGTGAGTTGGGATTTAACCGTGGGATTGAACTCTTTGTTAACAAAGAAAGGAGGATGGAGTTTGTCTTTAAGTGATCAGCATTTGGTAAGTCAACTGCGTTCTTTTACATCTAATATCTGAATGGCCCTCGAGTGTGTAGCAGAATGCGTGTTCCGCTGCAGTGTTGCTGGATTGATTTGTTGCTCTGTTGTCATATGAATATATGTGACTGGTTCTTGTGAGTTTGTTGTCATTGTGTTAATTATATAGATTTGGACTATATGCATTGTCCGTTAATTACGAAGCATACCGTCATGCATGGAGTTATTGTTTGTTAAGCTAGTTTAGCCTAGCCTCCTAGAAGTGTGGGGCCTCAGCTGTCTTTTGTTGTGTTTTTCTTTTGTTCTGGGTTCAGAGGTCACAGCCCGTTGTCTGTTACGTGAGCGCAGTCCACCGAAAACATTATATTTCCCACAATTTAAGCTTCTGCATTTTCCAAATGCACTAATATTATTCAGATGTATTGTTCGGTTCGTACGCCTCGTACCCAACGATTTAATACGAATACGTGTATTGTTACACCCCTAGAAACAAATAACCGTAGCTGTGGCACCATCATGAGGTTATTAGGTGGTGTTTCAGCTGCAGGGCAGCACTGAAGGTCCAGGTATTATTATTGAATTTAATACAATACAGGTACACTTATCTGCCGATACTAGGACCCACCCACTAATGCATTCCTTCCTCTGTTTCTTTGCTTCTCCACAGGCACTCATAAGTTTGTGACGGAGGGGGAACACCTGGTGCTGACAGACATCACCAAGGAGCAGTCAGGATCCTATGAATGCATTGCTTCTAATGACATTTCAAACCCTGATGTCAGGATGGTTCAAGTCACCGTCAACTGTAAGGACCAAAACTAGCACAGTAACGGTGGAAACATGATGGATGTAATGATCAGGACAGATATACCGTCTAATGAAGACCATTCCATTTTATTTTATTTTAAATGTACTGTTTTGTCTCACATGCACTCCTGCTACAAATAAGCAACTATTGTTACAGATATTCTGGGATTATGAAGTGGTTAACACGGCTTCAGAAGATGTGTAGTTCATCAAGTTGCCATCCCAAATAATGTAACAAACTCACTTCCTGTATTCTGGCCGCCCCTTGTCAGTTCACTTTTAACATTACATTACAGTCATTTAGCAGATGCTTTTATCCAAAGCAACTTACAATTCAGATTCTATCACACCATAGGCACAGCTACAGGAGCAATTTTTGGGGTTAAGTGTCTTGCTCAAGGACACATCGACATGCAACAAGCAGAGTCGCAGCCGGGGATCGAACCGCCGATCCTCTGATTGAAGGACGGCCCTTCTCTCCACTTAGCCACGGTTGCAAGAAATTGAATGAAATAATAAGGAGCCAAAACACAAACCAATGAAGTTATGTTCTCTCATTGTAAAAATGTGTTTCTCTTTGTTTTGTAGATCCACCCTTTATTTCTAATGCGAGGAATACGGGTGCTCCGGTTGGACAAAAAGGAATCCTGCAATGCGAAGCCTCCGCTGTTCCCAGGGCAGATTTTGAGTGGTACAAAGAAGACCGCAGGCAAGTTTCTCCTCTGAGCTCTGTGATTTCTAAAGGCTTGGAATTGTTTGAAGTCAGTATTACAGAAACACAGAGACACACTTTGTGCTGTAGGGTGTGGACTTAGTTTATCTGAAATAACCTAGACTGCATCATCTTTGTTGATGAGTGATAGAGTTTTACATATATTTTGATTAAAATAAGTGCTTTTGATGTAATGAGATACTTATTCATGCCCTGCATTTTTGTTTTCTCAATGGCCATTATATCCCAATAATCACATTATGAAAATGTATCATTTTCAGTTTTTTTTCCAAACTCAGTCAAATCATTTGCACAGCAGGCACGGACACCAAAGGCAACTATTATTATTTGTGCATTGTAACGTCAGTATGGTGTGGGGCTCGGAGGTTTAGAGGATATTATAGCATAACATAATTTTCCAACTGAAGGCTGGAGACTGGAAAGATGTTTATGAGCAGCCCCAGAGCTGGTAAGCTGATGCAAACGCAGGCTATGTTACACTGTTAAATGGTCCCTGACAGTGACAGCAGCATCGCTCGTCAGTCCCCAAAAGGCAACATCTGTCCTCAAGAACAAAAAGATTGAGGTCGCTGATAAAATAAATGACTGGTATCTGCACACGTGAAATAGGGCAATGAAACAGGAAATGCAAGGAGTGAAACAGAGGGAACACAATGCATGTACAGTCTCATCCGTAAGGCAGAGAGCTGCATTCAAACATTTAGCTCTATTGTGAAACATGTAAGTATATTACAGCCTACAGGTGCAAAAGGTATTTCTAATTTCACATAAATCGACATTTTAAGTACGTCTACTAGAGATTTCACAAAAGGCCTGAGCACACCCCCCTCAAAGGACTCAAGCGAAGCACTGTTGCAGTTCCTTTTCTTCACTGCTCACTGGCAGAAGCATTGAATGCCGCTCCCCTCTTTCTTACAGGCTCTTCAACGGACTAAACGGAGTTAAGATAGAGAATCAAGGTAGACAGTCGATGCTCGTCTTTTTCAACGTCTCAGAGGAAGACTACGGAAACTACACTTGTGTTGCCGTGAACAACATGGGAATCACTAACGCCAGCATAATCCTTTATGGTAAGAACATATGGGTATAACAGTAACACACTGAGGTGAGCGAAAGTGTTAATTATGTTCATTTATTATTTTCAAGCGGACTACTTTTTGGTGTCTTGTTCTTGGCATGCTAAAGCAGCTGCACACATACAGAACAAAGCAATCCTGACATGAAGGTCACCCGCTGTATGTTATGTCACTAGTTTCCATGGCAATGGCTGCACTGATGCAAAGCTCTTACTTGGCTGACACATCCACGTGAAGATTTGAATTCCAGTCAATCGCAGTTCATACAAGCAGAGCTGTGGTTCAGGCACTGATTTATGAAGCGCTAAGGCTGGATTGTGTCCTTCTCCTTCAGGTCCTGGTGCGATGCACGATGTGAACGGGGCCGCCGTGTTGCCCCGTGCCTCCGTCTGCCTCCTGCTGACCGTGACCTCACTCTACCTGCTGAAGTTCTGATGTGAAATGTGACGACCTTCAAGCTTCCCTCAGCGTTGAGCAGCAAGAACAGACTATTAGTCCTATATGAGGAGAATGGAAATGTAAGAGTGCCAGTGGCTCACCCTTAGTTTTCTTTCTTTTTCTTTCTGGCTTTGCATCAGAGTCTGTTCTCTGTTGGCTCGCCAAGAGAGAGAGGCGTCAATCCGAGCAAGGGAAAATTCAAATCATGCACTAATTTGATGATGGTAGAACTACTGAGTTTGTGACCCCCTAAGCCCCCCCCCAAAAAAAAACCTTTTTGTATGTGAAAAAGGAAAAAAGAAGAAAAATACATATAACTGTTGATAGTTGACTGTTTATTGCCCAATATTGAAGTGTACACTCAGATTATTATTATTGTGTCATGTCCTGTTCAATATCTGTACAATACCATTAAGCTTTTTTTAAGTAAACAACAAAAAAAACCAGAAAAAAAGCAACGTGATTGTTGAATTTTACTGTATTTTTACAGTTGTATGCAAAACAGAGTAACAGATCCTACATGACAAACAGTTCAGAGTAAAAATAGTACACCATGATTTCTCAGGCAAAGTCCTACAGCATAGTGCATCCACATTTTGATTTCCATCCTATGGTAGTGTGTGTAGAAAATGTACAAATGTGTACAGATATTCCTGCACTGTTGTTTTTTTTAAAAGGCATACACGGCATCAGATGGCATTTTTCAAACACCTAATTGCGGCGTCATAGCAGCTTCACGGCATATTCACATCACAGTAGGCTACTGAAAACCTGAACCGAGAAGAGTCATTCAGAACAAACGTGTTGGTCAGCGTGTCGCTTCGTTCGCTACAGTGACAAATTGAAGAGTGCAGATGACGTGCCGATGACGTCATTGTAACTCTCAGGTTAGCAGCATGGCACTGGACTGACTTCTCAGCTAATTGGGGAACTAAATTGTATTTGTAAAATAAAATATTGTAATCCTCCTGATGATATTTTGGGCTTTTACAGTCTTGTTTTTAAATTGCAACTAGCATGATACACGCTGATGGAGAGTTATCGAGTTGACAAATGTGCAAAAGTAAAAACATGTTTGATCTCAGGCTGCCACAGTGGTTCTCAAGGTCCCTTGTGGGCTCCCAGTGGGCTTTTATGCAATTGAGGCTTTTTATTTGGATCCAACATAAGTTCAACATAAGTCATGAGTTTTTCTTTTCTTTTCTCATTGACCCTCAACTGGAAAATGGTACCTATCAATAGATTATAATCCTCTTTAAAATATCTCTCAAATACCACTGAAAATGCATACAGTCAAAAAAAAGTTCACCGTCAATGAATAAGAGTGGAGAGAGCTACTTAAAGGACCAGCCAGTGTCTTTGCAAGTGTTATCCTGTTAAGTAAAAACACACCAGAGCTTTAGATTTTTGACTTAAACGTGTTTTTTTTCGCTCATATGTGAATGATATTAAAAGTCTCAACAGTGACTTGCAGTGGCGGAATGTAACTAAGTACATTTACTCAAGTACTGTACCTAAATACAACTTGGGGGTGTTTGTTTTTTACTTGACTATTTCCATTTTCTGCAACATAATAATTATCATCTTCTACAGCTCAGAGGGCTAACCAGTGGGGCACGCTCACATGCACTAACATGCACTAAAAGGCACGCGGCCAGTCAGCTATGTCACAAAGGAAGGAGAAGCTTTGATATCAACACACACAGAGGGAGAGACACTTCATTCTCTGCTCAGGTAGACATTGCTCTACTACATCTTTACATTGCTGCTGTATATTAATGCTCTGAATATTGTAAAGAGAACCTTTAAGTAAAAGTCCTGCATTCAAAACCTTACTCGAGTAAAAGTGTATATTATCGGCATAATGCACTTAAAGTTCTACTTAAAGTATTGATTGATCAGTAAAATATGATGAATAGTAGGCCTACTGGTGCATTAAATTAATGTGTATGTTGCATTGGAACTCCTTTATATCATGTTGGCCAGTTTAATCTACATCAATGCATCATATTCTATAAGATGATCATATGTTTGTAGCTTTGCTGTCCTGTGAGAACCACGTATCTCTAAAAAGAAATGCAGCCTGTTTTTAGCTTTGTGACGATGCTGATGCAGCTGATCCAAGAGACTTTTTAAAGTAGGTTCTCAACACATAAATGAACACTTCATCCTTCAGTTTATCGCAAACATTCAACCTCAACACATCTAGACATACATGGTTTTCACTGTACAGGAAGGGGATGAAAAACTGTCATCTGAAAAGTAGCTAAAGTAAAGTATACGGCGGTTACAGCTGATAACGCCGTCATGAAACACAGCGTCGACTCGGAAGTGTAGCACCCACCCTCCGGTTCCCCCTCACACTGTCAGCTCTGTCAGCACTGTTGTTAGCACTCATCCTGCTGTTAGCAAAGTTAGCTGCTAGCCGCCGGCTCAGCCATGTTGATAGCTGTGTGGAGGCAATAGATATGCTCGGAAGTCTGCGAAAGCCCCTTTAGAGGTCTGATTCTGGAGAAAGAGCTCAACACTCAAACAAACCCATCCTTCAGCTCACACAGAACACATAGGTACCGGCATGTGAAGAGATATTTGCTGAGTTTGACAAAAAGTCTATTGAGTTAGAATCGCAGACTGTACCTTAAAGTAAAGTAAAGAATCTGAATACTTTATTCACCGCCGGTGAAGCAGCATTTGTTTTATTTATTAAACACCACGTATTTTTATATTGTTAAGGTTAAGTTATCAATGTGTGGTAACACAAATGAAAAGCATGCCTTACGTTGAATCTTGTGTTGATTCAACGCAGTAGTAATGGATTAGGATGAGGCCACTTTTTATTTTTACATTTACAGCTACAAAGCTGGCACACGTCCAGCCCACAAAGAGGCTATTTCATGAACGACGAGTGGAGTCAACTTGAATGAAGGCGAATGTCCCGCGTAGCTGCTATGAAGCTTTTTTTCAGGTGTTATGTATGTGTGCTTTTAACCTGGTTTGCCGTGAGGTAAACAGCAGACGCTGATCTCAAGACGGCAGAAGTGATTATTGTGCTCTGTTGTCAGTAGATGCATTGTCAAGGGACATTTTTTAAGTCTGCCTGGGACAGAAATTTCCAGTGATGAGAATATACCTAAAGCACAAGTGATTGATAATGTGATGTTCTGCTATTGTCCAGTTGACTCCTGTGCATACATATGAGTAAGAAGTGTATTGAAGACAAAACAGGGACGACGTCGATGTATGTGGGAATGCTTTTGTTGTACTCACATGTTAGGTTCTGTGCTTGTAATGATGGTGAACCAGTAGGCTGCAGATGATGTCACAGGGACGGGATATCACTTTTTAGGGGGTTTGCAAAAAAAACACAGACAGATGAGATTCAGACGCTTGCAAAACTAAAGTTCAGGGTTATTGTAACCCTTTCCATCCCAGATAGATTAACATTATAGGTGTTGATGTCAATGAGCTTGAATTCATTTGTTTAAAATCCCCATTAAAAGAGAACTGATCCTGGAATTTACTTAAGGTGTAATTTTGCATATGTCACCATGAATGAAAATATAATTAGTTTTATTTCATTTATTTTCCCTTTTTTATGTTTTAAGGGTATTAGATTTATTCTTTTGACATTATCTATAATCCTCCTGAATGCATAATCCTCTGGGCATTTTAAAGTTCACTGTATTCAAATTCACTTGTCATTTATTTTATTTTAGTTATTAGCTCTTTTTTGTTGTGTTTTTAAACCGTTGATCTTATGATGTATGATCTCACTGACTGCGGCATTGATGACCTGTTTGATTTGTTTTTGACCTGACTGGAGGTTCAGCATAGGGTAGTCACTATTGTGGTATACAGTCATCGTATCATTTGATTGAGAGATTGCAAAAATGTCCATAAACTGGTTAAATGTGAATTCAAATTTGTTTAGTTTCTGTTTTTTATTTTGAACTCGGAGTGCCTCAGTTTAAACCTGGCATCAGAATGCGTCTCCACATTTGTCTCCAGTGACCACTTTGAGTCGACCAAATGAGTTGCTGTATTTAACAGGTGGGAGGCAGCAATGCACTTCCCTTGCCTAGTTTGCCTGCAATTTAGTATTTGTTGAAATGTATATCTCTATAGGATTTACAAAATGTTCAGCCGGCTTACATGTCTTGATAAACAACTGGAGATTGGAAAAAGTACTCTTATGACCTATTTTTCAGTTATGTCCTTGTTGGGACGCATTATTGTTACCACTACAAAAGTCATGTGATCAAATGCATCCTAGACAACCTCGGCAAGGATCAAATCACAATCTGTCTTGGTTGTCATTTACCCATGTATTTAGACGTGTCAATTTATGATCCGATTGCCAAAGACACATGTAAATACAAGGGGTAAGAAGGGTCATAGTGACAAAGCCACAGATAATCATCACCAACTCTGTAGTTCCCCTTGGATCTTTGTTGTGGTTTTAGGGCCTGCAGCTTTACTATTTTGGCATTAAGAAGGCTTTGATAAACCCACTGTATACAACCTGCTGAGCACCAAACAACAGGGCCAATATTTCTTTCAGGAGTTGGTGAAGAGAGTGGATATTGGACTTAACATTTGAGGCCAGAAAAACGACTCCAAATTAACTCTAACACATTTATTAACAAAACAAAATGTTGACCCAGGTGTGTTTTTATAGAAATTGTAAATAATATGAATAGGTTCATGTTTAAAGATGGGATTAAAAGTGATAATATTTGGGAAAGAGCTGACAGTGAAGTTGTAAAGTGTTACACAGTCTGTGTGAGGCTATGGGGAATGAGGTTCCCTTTGGAATCTAACTGGAACCATGGAAAGGTGAGGAGCAACTGATCAGAAGATCTCATGGATTCTGGATATAGGGATTGGCAAGATTGGGAATGTAAACTGGTGCTTAAAATCAATCAATATCAATAAAAGGGGAATGTGCGGGGTGTCATCAGCATCGTATTGATAAGGGAGGTCGCATTTTCTGAAAACAGACTCCAGTGGAAATGTACTCTGTATAGTGCAAGAAAATGATGGCCAAAAACGACTCTACGGGTACACTACAAGAGGAAGGAGCAGAAGATGATGATGAAAAATGATCAATCATGACAGGAACTGATCTATGTGTTCAGATAAGGTAAGGTCTTTCAGAGACCTTACAGGATTGAGATGATCCATTAGGAATTGTTCTATAAAATCTATCATAGTTCATAGTTAAAATCTATCACAGTTCATAGTTAAAATCTATCATAGCTCATAGTTTGCGAACATTATTGAAAGAATTGGGAATTGACAGATTTGGAAGGAGAGAGATAACATGCTAACATGTGAGTGTTCAAGTCTGCATCAAGCTACATTAGCCTAACCAGTCTGATATATTAAAATCTGCATTAAATCTTACCATAAAAAGCAAACTACTTGTGTGCTCTGAATTTCTGTCAGAACTACCTTTCAACTTGTCTCCTGTTTTGCCCCATTCTTAATAAACAGCAATATTCAATGCCACTGCTGTCAGGACTGATAGGACTTCAAACAGCCTCAGCACAATGACATCAATATCTGCATGTTAGATCCTGGGCCCCTTCCAGTGTAACCTTGTTATCAGAGCAAAGCTGTAAAATGAGCAAAAAAACAGGGCAAGTCTGGTAACTGTGGTGTCAGTCAAGCTGCCTGTTACCTCTTTGTGTCTGTGACTGAATGGCAGGAGATGCACTCCGGTGACATATCTGTGAGACACTAACGACAAAGCCTTGCCTCGAGACTTTTCTTACAACCTCCACAACTTAGTGTGATTAAATGACTGCTGCTTCTTTCCAAGGTAAGAAGGACTTTTGGTTTTATTTCCATGATAAAATGAGAGGTTGCAGCAGAATAGTTCCATCCAGGTGAAGTACAACAAACGTCTGTTTGGTTCTCTGTCTTCTGGTAAGGTTCTTGACAGGCCTTAAAGCACGATAAACAAATACAATATATAACTCTATCGTTTCTCTGAAGAAAGAATCAAAGTCCTTTTGTTGTGTTTTATCTCAGACCAAAGTCAGTCAAACGTGATTTTTTTTGGGGGGGGATATAGCCTATATAACCACTATAATAAAATAATACCCTTTTCTGACAGCTTGCAGTAATACTTAACCTTGTTTATAACATAGTTTAACTGGATTACTTTGCTTTTTCATCTCTCACAATCTCCATTCTCCTTTGTCACAAATATGACAGTGCAACACAGTTATTGAAATCTTTCAGGTATAACTAATTCAATGCGGGTTGTTCTCTGCGGACGGGTTTAATGTAAGGTGAAGTTATTGCTTATACACACCGCGAGCAGCCAGATTGATGAATAACTTCATTTTGACATGGTTTGCAGAGGCAAAGTTCTTTTTTTTTTCTCTGCTTCGTCCTTAAATGCCCTCATTAACTTAACCAGCTGGGGATAATAGAAGACTTTACAAAATGATTTCAAAATGGCCTTAATGATTGATGCAAGTGCTCTCTGAGCACCGATCTAGAGACATATATAGAGACATATATTCCTTTCGGTCTTTAAGTTAAAGAGAAGAAGGGAGCTGTAAATGGATGTAATTAGGGCTAACAGCTATGAAAGTATCGGCGTCTACCTCCCTGTAAAGTCCACTGATTGAAACATAGACGTAATCACCATTCTGTCTCTCTCCCATACCAAACATTTTTCAATCATATATGAAAGTCCAGTGTCCTGCTGAATCGGCAAATATCTGTCAAATAATTGTAACAATTCTATCCTGATTACCATAAATATAATACCAGAGTTCAACTAAATCCATAGACTTCATGACCAGCAAAACAACCCTTGAGTACCCTCAAAAATCTGATTTTTTTTTCATTCACCAGAGTATTACATTTTGTCCACCCTGTTTTTACAAAACTTTGCAAAGTTTTCTGTAAAGACATCAGCTGCAGCCTGTAATGAAAGAGTGGAAGGCTGGCGGACTGCAGGGCCCTCTCTCTGGTCTTTCTTTGTGCAAACTCTACAGCCACATGATTAGAATCCAGCTGTTCTGATGACTCTCTGCCGGTGCCGACAAAATTGAAGCATCTTTTAGTCATCTAAATCATTGAGTTCAGCCCCACATCTCTGCTTTTATCTCGTTTTTTTAAACATGTTTTAGTTTGTCTGCCTCACCATCATTTACAACTTTGCATGCTCTTCTGTATTTCATAACCAAATACTCTCCAACATACACTGAACCTTACTCATGGTCACCGTAAAGAGAGCATCATCTCACCTAGACTTCCTGCATACATAACGGTGATTATCGTCATAAACCACAATCATTTAAATACACTGCACAGTCGTGGTTAGCTACCACGTCAAACCTTATGAATGCATTTTTTGTCACATTCATTATCTGTCTTCACAGGGCTGCCGTCAAATCAGAATAATCCATGTTCGTATGCCCAAGATGAGTCAATGAATGCAGAGAGCAAGAATATGATGATGCTTTTACTGGATGTCTGATGAAGGACTTATGGCCATCATTTTGTGTGTGTGGGCGTAGCTGTCTGAAATGCAAAGACAGGTCAAGGCCATAGCTGGAAGAGGGGGGAATCAAAGCCCTGGAGAACTGCTGAGGTCCTTAGTCAAGCGTGTGACTAAACTCCACCTGTTTGAGACGAAATAATCTCCATATCAGGGGAAGTGTGCAGCCAGCTGCACTACTATACATCCTGGTCCATCACCTACACAAGCTTGTGATCTTGTCTGTGCCATCTCCTTCCACTCATATGAGCAAGACAGAAGTGGAAGTCATGCAGGCCAGAAAGAGCAACAGACCATTCCATCCAAGAGTCTGTCACTGAGGCCCGAGGCCAGAGAGATTCAGTCCACAATGTGCTTTTACTCTGTTTTGATCACTCTGATATTATGTTCTAGTTTTCTCCCAACTGTGGCTTCAGGTTTTGCTGTCACTGCCATGAGGATTTGATCAGCGTCTCGGTGTCAATCTGTAAAACCTGCCTCATCCTGCTTTGAAAGATATTAAGAGCGTATTTACTCCCCGTATTGCCATGAAGACATCAAATCCCCTGATGTACTCGCCACACTCATATCATACTCCTCTTCCTGTTCTCTCCGGAGACACTGGCCCCCATTGTATTCAAAAACCCATTAAAAAGAGCTTGAGGAGATACAATGCAGAGCTAACAAACATTATCCTTTACATATTTCCCCTAACATGACTATACACACATTACGGCTGTAACCAATTTAGTTCATTTTGCCCAGATTTGAATGTGACCTGCTGTCTGTAGATTTATCTTCACTGTATGGAACAATGTTCAGAAAAAGTGGAAGTACTTTCCAGTCAATACAATTATTACCTGCATGATAATGTCAGGTTAACTAGTCATTTCAAGTGATAGATTACATTCAGAAGTTTCAAGTAAAAAGTTTCTCTGTGATCTTCTGGTTCTTTATGAGCATATTGGTGATGAAAAATAAATGGTGTCGTCAGTGCTATCCTACATCCTAAACTGTTCTGAGTTTGTAAGTCTGATAGTGGTCAGAATGTTCTCTTAGATGCTTCTCCATTCTAACAAAAATGATATAGCATTTTTTTTTTTGGAAAGCTTTTGAATTTAGTTTTACAAAAATATTTAAAAAAAACATATATAGAAAATGCATAAAAGCTCAACTTAAAAAAAAACAAATTATATATATATATATATATATGAAAAAATGCTTAAATGAGCATGTTGTCCAACAGGAATGGGCTGTCAGGTGAAAAACAGATGTCATTCTCGGTCAGTGCCTTCTTCATCCTTGGAGGTACCATCCGATCACACATGTCATATAAATGCTCTCGGATCCCTGTCCTTGACTGTTGTCTCGTCTTCAGGTGGAACAACAGCATCAGTCAATGCCAGCAGCTCAGCGGCACATTCATTTCTCTGAGTATCCCTCCATACCTGCAGGGACGGAGAGATCTCTTCTCTATCTGAGCAGCAGGTTCAGAAACAGGGAAAAGCAGGAGGCATCATAGTTGGATGTGAGGTTACACGAATGAACACTATGATTGTTGAGGAGTTTTATAATCTTATCACCCTGAACAAATTAAATAACCTCAATTAAAGAAAATGATCAAACTCCACACTGTAATTAAGTTTTAGAAATATAACATTTCAATTATTTACTTTGATAATTTAATTTTAAAATAACAAAATAAAAGTATCCTTTAATTCACAATTTATTTTGTTCTTAAAATATCATGAGTTGCAACAATAACTCCCTTCAGTTAGAATTACTATCATACAACTCAAAATCAGATTGAACTCAGTGGGCCCACACGCATCAAGCACACACACACACACGCACACACACATACACACGCTCACACGAGTAGGCCTACCTTAACCAATAAACTATTTACCTTTATCCTCAAATCCTACTTCCTTTTACCACATGAACTCTTCAAAATAAAACAAAAATAAAAGCATACCTCCGTACACCAGTACCTTTTAAACTTATTTATTACATTCTACCTTTTTAATCTATTCATGAACTATCCCTAAATGTCTTTCTAAGCATGCTTATAACAATACTTAGTGTATATCTTATTAATCCAGTCACCTATCATTATTTTTATTACAATGTAGGGTACTTTTTATACCTGGTCACACCACACCATACAACTACGTTGTTATGACATACTATATATTGACTTCTAGACTTTTTATGAAGTGCTCTACTATGCCATTATAAAAAAATACTATACCATATATTTTTGTATAACATACTATAATATTAATTTTGTAATACTCTTTATATCATACTTTATAACTCTTTAATGCCATACTTTAATAATATGACTTCTTTAATGACAGACTATACTTTTTTATGTCACACTTTTCATGAAATGCTCTACTATGACATTCTTATGTTATTTTTCATGCCATTTTTTTACTTACATTGCTATGAATTACATACTACTCTTTGACTTTTTTTTAGATACTTCCTTATTAGTTGTGATGGCATACTATGACTTTTTGACATACTTTAGTGTGACATTTTTATGACTTTTTTATAATGTACTTTAATATGACTTTTTTATTGACATGTTAAATGATTACTTTTTCATACTATACCATGACTTTTGAGACATACTTTATGAAGACAATTTATTTTTATGAAATATAATATGACGTACTATAATATGATTTTGATTTATTATATTTCATAGTGCTTTAACTTGTTATTGCATACTATACCATGATTTTTTTTACTTGCATATTATAACATATTGTTAGTTGGCTTTTTAAATAAATGCAATAATATTACTAGAATGGGACTTTTTCTGGCAGATAGTTTATGACATACAACTATCTGGATTTATGTCAACATACTATACTATGATTTCTTTATGGCATACTATGCCATTAC